GGGGAGCTCTATGTGGAGTCTTTTGAGGAACCTTTATACTACTTTCCAAAGTGGTTGAACAAGTTTACACTCCCACCAACAATGAAGTAAGATTCCCTTCTATCCACATCCCCTCCAGCATCTGTTGTTATTAGATTTCTCGATTATGGTGATTCTAACTGGGGTGAGGTGGTATCTCAATGTTGTTTTGATTTGCATTTCTTTTATGGTTAGGGAGGTTGGGCATTTCTTCATGTGTCTATTGGCCAAAAGATAGCCATCCTTAAGAGCTAGTGTTCATTCTAGTCATGGCTCTCATCAGTATGCCTTTAATACTGGAGGTAGAAGGTAGCATTGAAAAGCCTTTTAGAAGTAACTCTCTGTAACAGAGGATAATAATAATGATTGGTGTCTCTTAAGTATCTACCATGTTTCCAGATAATGCTCATTAATGAATATTATTTTATTTGATTTTATCTTTTCAAATAATGCTGCCATCATTCCCATTTTTAAAACTAGGAAACTAAAACCCCAAGGAATCAAGTAATTCATCTAAGATCACACAGCAAAAAGGAAGAAAAAGCTATTATTACAGACTCTAAAGCCTTCCTCCTCCTCCTCCTTCTTTTTCTTCTTTTTCCTTCTTTTTCTTCCTCCTTCTTCTTTTTCTTCTTTGTTCTGTCTTAGGGCTTGAACTCAGAGCCTGGGCTTTTTTGCTCTATGCTAGCACTACCATTTGAGCCACCATTTCTGGTAAAGCTATCATCTTAAATAGTACAATAGTTGACAATGACAACCTCCCTATTGTGGTGGCTACCCATAATCCAATGAGAAACTACTCTTTGTTGGCATTTGCCAAAGACCCATTAGCTGTGATACCAAATAATGTATGGGCCCATTTAACATTGTGGTTGAAAGCTTTGCTCAGAGAGTTTCTATCTAGTTAACACTGGAGAAATAAGAAATAAAATAGAACTATTATATGGATTCAGTGATTTATTTCTATTGTTAAGGTTTAAAATGAGATCTTTAACACTACTTTAATATACTTTAGAAAGAAGCATAAAAACGAGAGGAATAAAATGTTTCCCCATCATGTTTTATAAAATGTCCTCAGCTCAAAGTTTCTGATGAGCTGTAACAAGTTAGTAGAGTTTTACAAGCCCAGGTTAAAATTGTGAAGACTCATATTTACAGATTTTTGAAAATCTTTATTCTTTAAAACTGCGTATCAGCTAAATATAAGTTCTTAGAAGCTTTCTAGATAATGAGTTTTTGGCTAAATAAAACAATGTACAGCATACCAAATTTTTATCCTTACAAATGCACAATGGCATATTATAGATCAATTATACAAAGTGCAGAGTTCAAAAAAGATTCAGTACTATGAAAATCAGTTACTAGAATAGCAAAGTGGTTTCTTTACAAACTTAAAAATCAGTATTATTTGAATTATTCTTATTTTAAAATGTACAGAAGGCATTTTTATGGACTGCTTTTCAGTTATGGGCAAACTACAGGTCTTCCTCCCAACAAAGCTTTAAAGGTACTGAAGAGACTGTGAGGAAATACCCTTATTCTCTCTACCCTAAATTCCAAGAAGAGAATAAGACCTAGCAGACCTTTCTCTAGGTGCAGTGGCCTGCACTAATCAAGAGGAAAGGAACAGCACCCATTAGAAAAGACTTGCCACCTTCTCTTGCCAATGTGACAATTGCCTTTACTACCTGTGACAGCTTGGGGTTATGTGATTAGTGCTGGAAGCCAGAAGTAAAACAGGGAGAAAGAAGCACTGCAGCCTTCCACATGGTAGACTCTAATGTCCTCTTTGCTTGTGCTGTAAATTATATATTTGTTTTGTTAGCATGAGATAGATACATACAAAGGTGCCTATCTAAAATCAGGATAAGTGATATGAATGTCCTATGGTCAGTATTATTGAACCTCAAAAGCAATAAACTTTATGAGTCGATAAATATTACATTTGCAACATAGTTAACATTCTTTTACTGTCTCTAGCACTTATTACACATTGTAACCACAAGTATACAATACATTATTCATATTTGGGGTGTCACCAAGTGATGGATTGCTGTAGAAGAGGCTGTCCTTTAAATAAATCAACAAATAAAAATGCAAATGTTAACATTTTCAGCCACAACTTTTTCCATGTTGAATGGGGAATGAAAATTTCACATTATATCGACAATCCGCAGAGAGAATAATTAACAACCTACACTGTGAGAAAGATGGTTTTGCCATGCCTGGGTTTTTCTTTACAATTGTACATGGAAGGATATGGGATACTTCTACGTATATTCAAAGAATAAAATAATAAAAGCTGTATCTCACCACATCTGAATCATCTCCATTGTCTTTTCTAAGGCAGATTGCCTTTTGTTTCTCAATGAATGTGTTATAAGCACGTTATTAATAATTAACCCTTTTGAACCTTCTAGAATTAGTTATTTCCATTGTCAAAAATAAATAATAAAGGAAATATCTAACAGCCAAAGCAAAAGAAGTATGTTAATTAGCAACCATTATCTATGATTGTCATACCCGTTAAGATGCAGAATTATGTATTTCTTCCTTGTAAATAACCTTTCTAATTGTACTTGATGTATGCCAATATAATCAAAAAAGTATACTTGCAACAGACTGATATTTGCATTAATGTATGTTTAAATAAGGTTTATTACAGCTGTATATCCTCTTTGCTGGTATCTTTTTTTATTCAGATATGTAGATCTGCTACATTTTATATTAAAATGAATAGTATCTTCTGGGAGATTGTTCAGTGCAACAGAAGTCTTGTCAGTTTTTAAAACATTGATCAAGTTTCTTTTTCTCAGTCTTATGACAACATGATGATGATTGTTCCAAACTGATAAACAGAGACAGACACTATAGTAGCAGGAGTAAATCCCCAGTCCCTGAAATGAAAGGTTACTAAGCCTCTTCTCTCTGTGCCTGCATGACTCATAAGAGTTACAGCTGAGACTCTTGCATGCCCAACACTGAATTTACTGAATTTTTGAAATTGAAATTGGATTTAGAAAACTTCTAGCTTTTTTTTCTTTTTCGGAAAGTTGTATATTTTCTTTTAAAACAGAGTGTTTTTGTTTTCTTTTGCTTTGGAGTTATAAGGGATTTGGGGGGCTTTGGTTTTTGGGGTATTTTGTTTTGAGAAAGGATAGGAAATACTTTATTTTGTGCTTTGAAAGACTTGACAGTTTAAAGATCTTGGTTCTTTGCAGTCAAACCATATGCTTAATGCATTCTGAAAATGTTGTTGTAAGTTTATACCTTGTGGAGCTTTCCATAGAACATAACCAGCTCACAGGGAGCAGTCTGCAC